TTCATAAAAAATCTCCGGTTCAAGGGGAATTCCCTGTATTGTATACGGGCAGTATTACAACATTTTAGAAGCACATATTACTTTCTTGCGACTCAAAACATTTCATCGACAAGACCAGACAGAATCTCCAAATGGAAATCAATCCTAACGCAATAACTTAATATTATTTAAAATTAACACTTTAATAAAATTTAGTAGGAGGTCACTCTAGCTTTAAAAATAAAACCAAGAAATATTCTTCAAAATTAGTACCTTAGCTAACATCTTTATGCATTTAATTAAAAATAAATCATCTTTTTTTAAGTTATTACACTTTTAATAGTGTTGAATATTGGTATTTTTTATTTCTTCATCAATTGGTTTCATATTATATCTATCGTAATTTAGGGATCGCAAGGTAAAACCACAAAATAAAACAAATGAAATAAAACGCGACTTATAACTTAACAATATATTTACAAAACTGGAAAAATGAAATTAGAAGTTGAAATATGAAGAAATGAATCTAGTTGAAGACTTAGCAAAACATTAATTGAATTGAACTGTAGAAAACCAAATTTGGAAATGTTAGTGTTTTGGAAATGAAAATGTTATTATATTAACCCTAAACCACCGAAGAAACCTATCATTGAAAAGGAATTAAGAAGGAACAATAGTTAGTAAGTGAAGTTGGAATGTTTGGAAGGGATTATAGAAAAGTCAAAGTAATAAAGTTATTTTCAAGAAGCTCAACAGACAGGTACCTACCCAAAAGATTTGAAATAGATATATTAGGACAGATATTTACATAATGACAATAACAGAACAATATAACACAATTTGATCTGATTCGGGTCTAAAAGCCGTCGTGTGTTGGAGTTGCTTCCAACACCGATGCTGGATGCGGACTGCGATATCTTCTGCGAAAGTTGTATTATGCTGATGGGCAGAAGGCTTGCTCTAGATTAGTCAGTCGTGGCATACCGTTCGAGTGTTCCTGAGAATCAGGTTCCAGATCTGATTCAGTCTGAGAGTCTCCCCCTTCTTATTGAATTTTTTGCTGCCGGAGCCGTACACGGCTGCCGTCGCAACACGGCATGGGGACTGCAACGGCACGGCGCCGTGAGACAAGCAAGTGTATAGAAGTATTCACACATGCCGGTGTTCACACGGCAAAAATTGTTTTCAGGATCGTTTTTCTCTCTGAATTGTGCAGTTAACAGAAGAAATTATATAGTGTGGCGAATAATAACACTGCTATATTTAATTGTAAACATATATTTGGCTAAACATTATATTACACCCTTTTGTAAACATTTCTACTCGAATTCTTTTGTATCTGTCTTTCTATTATTCTCTGTGAAAATATTTGGAACAGTGTATTCAAATTCTTTTGTATTCAATCGCATATGTGTCCTCTTTTTGTAAATCATCTTGCAATTTTACGCATAATTCATTGAAACTCCTAATGGACATTCGAAAATAATTAAAAAATTTGGAGCTGTCCTTTCGTAGCTCATGAAATAATGTTACAAATTCACTCATCAATTGTCTGTTTTCAAGTAGTGGATGAATCCAAAATCTTCTTGTTTTTGTGTTTTTCTGGGATTATGCCATATCCTTAGTAACAACATGCGTTTTTTCTTTCGTCTATTTTGGTCACGCATCAAAACAAAACTTAACCCGAAGTGAAAAACCGTGTGCAGTGTGAACGCAAAGCAAATGAAATTACGGCACGGCACGACACGGTTGCCGTCAGAAAACCGTATGTGTCATATAACTCCTAACCGAAGGTAGCAATTTGCAGTTCTCAAAGAGTATTTTGCGGTCGCCGTTGCTCAGTGCGTGTTCGGTAACAGCCGACTTTTCACATGGTTTGTTGAATCTTCTTCGACATCATAACAATCTTCAAACCACTGCCTTTGCTAATATTTTTATATCAACCTGTATCAATTTAGTGAAAAACTATATAACCCATGCATTAGGCAATTGCAACAGGCTATTTTATGTTTACTACAATGATAAAAGTAATTGATTGTAAATCCAGAAGTATTAGTGGGTTTTCTATAGATATCGAATTCTAGAGAATTCCCACTACTTACAACTAAAGCATGCTGCTTCCCAACTTTTTCCCTTTCGATAAATTTAACAGGAGGAAAACGTAAAAGTAGTTTAGGAAGAAAATCTTGGATACTATCAGAATTTAAATTGAAAATAGCAAAAGTATCCTCCACGTATCATAGCCAACTTCGATAAAACACTTTTGACGGCTTAAGTCGTTCTTAAAACAGCTTATGGAAAGATTGGCTATAAGTGTGATAAGAGTTCCCCATACCTATTCCCTCTATCACATAAACATTTAAACCATTTATCTGAGAATAATTTTGCTGCACAATATTAGCGGAAAAAATTCTGATTAAATCCTCCAAATATATCAAAGTAGAATTGATACATTAGAAAACAGAGAGTACACATAATATGAAATCAAAACCTCACTATTGTTTAGCTTAGTGTTTTTGACTATACTGATTATCTCTGAGTTATTTTTTAATTTTGCCAACAGAAAACCTCTTTAATTTTCCTTTAACATTTTCCCAAATCTCCCGTAATTTTTGGCTGTTTCAAGCTCAATTGATCCCTTTTTTCTGTTCTTCTCATTTCGTAGATGCAACAGATGTTTATCAATTACCTCATTTCGCACTTGGTTTTTGATGTTCGTCATAATTTTCTTTTATTTATGCATCCCCCTTTTTGTGCTTTACTGTCCTGTCCGGTGAAAATGATGTCAAAGGTGAGCCCGCCAAACTTATATAAAATAAAATAATATTCACAACAAAAATATTTCATATTTTAAGATAACATATGGTCATTAACCTAGAATATCTTTACACTGTAACCTAGCTATTTAAGAATGCATGTGACCTTCTGAATGATCAGTGAAACCCTCTTGCTCATTGTGCAATAGAATCGGCGTAAGTCTAAAGATTCTATAAACAGTTTGCCACGTTCAAAATAATCGCATGCATTAGTTCACACTCCCTTAACAAGAAAGAATAAAGTTCGCAAACCCAATTCCCGATCAACGGCAGGTGAGCGCGGGCGATCTAATAGCAAGACAGTGATACCCTATTTCTCATTTTGTAACAGAACTGGCCAAGACACCACTATAAAGCGCTTTGGTGGTTTTTAAGAGAATTAAGAAAAAAAAAATTTTATGGTAATGGTGAGTACTTTCAGAAGTTGCATAATAAAGTTGAAAAGCAAACAGCTCATGTGGACGTTCCGTAAATAAATATACGTTACATCTATACGTTTTTTATTAATACTACTTTCAAAAATACTTACCGAATTTCCAACCAGTCATACTGGCACTCATTATTCTCCAAGGNGTCAGGAGCAACAAATTTTTCCTCATTAATTTGAGGAAGTGTGTAGTGGGTAAAAATTGAGAATATTTCATATTAAAAAACTAACTCAAGATTTCTACATTGTATGTATATTTATAACAATATAATGCTTCAAATTTCAACAATTTAACTTAAAAGTACGATACAAAATATACATGTACAATGAAAGAAATAGCTAAAAATAGAACAAATAATGGGGAAATGGGAAATTTTATATTCAGCCATAAATTGGTTGTGACTGTGTCTTAAAATATGCGATAAGAAACTGACATTTCGTAAACTCTGTTGGCATTTCCACATGTACGAGCTGTAATAACCCTTATTTTTTTATAGATTCATAATACATACATTTCAGCGACGATAAACTTTAATTGTGCTAAAGACACCTAATATTTATCATCATAATGTATGTACAGGGCATCCCATTTTCAGCAAATTTAACAGTAGGAAAACGTAAAAGTAGTTAAGGAAGAAAATCTTGGATACTATCAGAATTTAAATTGAAAATAGCAAAAGTATCCTCCGCGTATCATAGCCAAATTCGAGAAAACACTTTTAACGGCTTAACTCATTCTAAAAACAGCTTATGAAAAGATTGGCTATAAGTGTNAGTAGTATACCTATAATGTATTAATAATCACTAATTCAAACTAACAATTTAATACTTCAATATTCAACAATTTAACTTAAAAATACGATACAAAATATACATGTACAATGAAAGAAATAGCTAAAAATAGAACAAATAATGGGGAAATGGGAAATTTTATATTCAGCCATAAATTGATTGTGACTGTGGTTTAAAATATGCGATAAGAAACTGACATTTCGTGAACTCTGTTGGCAAACCCTTCTTTCCTTATAGATTCATATATATACATTTCAGTGACGATAAACTTTAATTGTGTTAAAGACACTTAATATGAACTTTCTATATGCTAAGCAACTCATAATCATTTATCATCATAATGTATGTACAGGGTATCCCATTTTCGGCACGTTTGCGGGATATCTCCCTTAGTTTTATAGATAAACGGTTGCTGCTTTCCCAAGTGTTTGCATTTTCTTTGTGAAACTAAGGTAGTGGGCTATGACTAATTTGTTTGAAACAAAAGGTAAAATATTAACCCTATAAATTCCACACACTTTCAATCACCATTTCCACCAGTAAGAGAGCTTACTGGTTAAATGAGAAACAGAAACACATCACTATATAATAATGTGGTAAAATATTTGATTCTGACATAACTATGTTTGTAAAGAAAATAGGACTTCCTGGAATCAGTACCTAGGCCATTTGATATCCAGACTGTTGCCGTTTAATCGAAAATTTTAAATAAAAATTAGCAAATGAGTCGAATTGTACGGGTTTAAATGTCATTCATCATCATCATCATCATAAGGTCATCAGTTCTAAGACTGGTTGGACACGTACCTTCACTCTTTCTCTATCCTATTTCTTCACTAAGTAATATTAAATGCAGTGCTAAAAATACTCTTGAAAATTATGCATATNTAACAATTTAATACTTCAATATTCAACAATTTAACTTAAAAATACGATACAAAATATACATGTACAATGAAAGAAATAGCTAAAAATAGAACAAATAATGGGGAAATGGGAAATTTTATATTCAGCCATAAATTGATTGTGACTGTGGTTTAAAATATGCGATAAGAAACTGACATTTCGTGAACTCTGTTGGCAAACCCTTCTTTCCTTATAGATTCATATATATACATTTCAGTGACGATAAACTTTAATTGTGTTAAAGACACTTAATATGAACTTTCTATATGCTAAGCAACTCATAATCATTTATCATCATAATGTATGTACAGGGTATCCCATTTTCGGCACGTTTGCGGGATATCTCCCTTAGTTTTATAGATAAACGGTTGCTGCTTTCCCAAGTGTTTGCATTTTCTTTGTGAAACTAAGGTAGTGGGCTATGACTAATTTGTTTGAAACAAAAGGTAAAATATTAACCCTATAAATTCCACACACTTTCAATCACCATTTCCACCAGTAAGACAACTTACTGGTTAAATGAGAAACAGAAACACATCACTATACAATAATATGGTAAAATATTTGGTTATGTTTGTTAAGAAGATAGGACTTCCTGGAATCAGTACCTAGTCCATTTGATATCCAGATTATTGCCGTTTAATCGAACATTTTAAATAAAAATTAGCAAATGAGTCGAATTGGACGGGTTTAAATGTCATTCATCATCATCATAAGGTCATCAGTTCTAAGACTGGTTGGACACGTACCTCCACTCTTTCTCTATCCTATTTTTTCACTAAGTAATATTAAATGCAGTACTAAAAATACTCTTGAAAATTATGCATATATAATCTGTAGCTGCACCCATTCGTCCGAATGTAAGCGGGTTTAGCTAATGTCTTTAATAATTTGCAGACCTTCGACTTAATCGGAGCACTTAAAGAATTTTTAGTACAGACTTTGGATTTCAGTTTTGCTCCTATAGAGGTAGTACTTTGAAGAAATTCTCAGCGATGACCACGGTGAATATATTGTGCAAAATTTATTTTTCCTTAACTAAGCGGGTTAATATCTACCTATCATATCAAAAAATAGTTTTTTTAAACTACTTGTTTGGCTACGTAAGTGGAACGATAAAGTAAAAAAGTCGATGTTCTTGATAGTGTTATGTACGTCCTATCTTATTAAAGAACAGAATAAATGATTACTGAAATTGACATAAATATTTTCCACTCTATAGCTGCAGGTACGCGGTCCTATTGATAAAGTCACCCGCATAAATGAGTATTTCTTCTGCTATAAATTTAGAAACTTAGAAAAAAGTTTCGCAGAAGACAGAAAGGAGGGGTCCTTAAATGAATAATTTAAGGTTCTATTTGTTTTGGTTTCTGAAACAATAATTCTACGCCACTTATATTATTAGTTACCTACCAGAACTTTCACTAGTGATGAGCACAGCAGGACCAACATCAAGCCTTGCTATAGGTCTTGGTCTTGCTTATTCGGTCTTAGTCTTGGTCTTGGTCTTGCGTGTTAAGTCTTGGTCTTACTCATTTAATCTGATGGTTACGTTTTTTTTAATAACTTTTTAAGCATAACAATTGTCTTAAATGCTGACATTTTCTGTTATACATATGAGATTATCATAACTTTTAAAGAAAACAGTTGGTTTGAGTCTTAGTCGTGTTCGTTCAGTCTTGGTTTTGATAGTATAAAAACAGTATTGGTCATAGTCTTGCGAAAATGGAAGACCAAAACTGCAAGACCAAGACTAATTTTCACGTTAACTTAATTACAAAATGGAAAACAATACATTTATGGGTACATCATTCTAAAAAAGTTGCCTTTAAATTAAAAAACATTAAAAAAATTAAATAGTTGGTCATTCCATTANAAACATTAAAAAAATTAAAATATTTGGTCATTCCATTCAAAAAAAAAAAAAATAGTGGTGCACATTTGTTAGAACAGGAAATGCCCACATTTCGAAAATACTTTCAACAAATAAATCATTTTGTCCAAGTTTCATGTCGATATCTCTTATTGCCCTACAAAAATCCAATGAAAAATTTATACTAAACAACTTGCATGTAAATAAGTAATTGAAATTAGTAGGGATATTAAACTAATTTAAAAGTATCTTCTGTTAACAACATTGAACTCAAGAATTTCAGTATTAAAGAACTTAAAGTTTTTAAATAAAAAGTTCCTTATAGCAGAAACATATAACTAACTCTTTTTCTAATTTTCAACTTCTGTCTTTATTTACAGTAATGTTCCTACATAATTTTTAGCTCCCTGTCTTTGTTTTGTTTTTTTTTTTCTGGTTGGCGACGTTCTGTTCATAGAAGGGCAATCACTGCAGAATTTGCTCCTCAATTAATTAAAATACGCTATCATTAACAAAAGGATTGGTGGCACAGTGTAGCAGCGAAATGGCCGACATATATTAAATAAAAAACAATAGGTTATCTACCTCTATGTAATCGAAGCTGCACACATGCAAAGAACTTTCCAAGTCTACATCTTGAAAAACTAGTTCAATTATTTTACCAGCAGGTTGGATTATTTCGTATACGCATATTCTATCTTCAGGGTAATTTGATGGATATCCTGGAGAAGAAATAGTTCCAGACTGTTCTTCAAATATTCCACCACAGACTAAAATTACAAACCTCTATCAATATCTTTTAATGCAAATAAAAAACAAAACACTATAAATTAAAGAAAGTTCTACTCTCATGTGGTATGACACTGAGATTGCGGTAGTTCGGTAGTAAAACCGAATGGAGAGTTTATAGAAGTAACGTTTATGTATTAAGAATACTTATAGGATAGTGTCAAATTATTATTTATTATTACCTGTTTCGTATTTGATAATAAATCCTCCTTCTTGTAAACTGAAGTCTGATTTAAAAATAATACACAAGACATTTTCTACGGATGTATATGAAGCTGGTAACTCTTTTCCGCAGTATTTGCCTATCAATGGTGCTAATGAGTTTGCACCTTCATGTAACTACAAAATATTATTTTTAAAGTAGAAACAAAAAATCTTCCTTAAACATTATATAGGGTATTTTTTAAAATAAGTGGCAAGCTTTGGAGGGTGTCCATTGCGTGCCATAGGGAATCGCATGGTAAGTACAGCAATGTGAGTAAAAAGCAAAAAAAATTTACAATTCGAAGCCGGTCCTGGACGTGAATATACAGCGTAGGACTTTACCTATGAATTGAGATAAGAACCTGCATCGATGAAGTAAAGAATGCCAGTTAAAGTAAATATCAAAAAACGTTACGCTAAAAATGAAATAATAACAACATTCGTTCATCGCTGATAGCGTGAAGTATTATTTCAATTGCATATGAACATGTAAGTTCACAAAAGAAATAAAAGCATTTTAGTTATGTACACATTAGGAGACAAATGAGTCATTAAGATAAATTTCCACACCACCACTGAGGTATTGCCAAGTCACGTTAGCTTTTTTACCCCTATAAACATACACGCACACACATACGTACAATATAAAAATTGTTCGACATTCGAGCCTCGTGCTGAAAGATAATCTTTAAAATGCCTATCAAAATTAATTCTGAGTCGCGCAAAAATATCTAATATTTGGTGAATTTCATTTGTAAAAGTTCACATTCGCTATAAATGAGTAGCATGTCACAATGTTTTGCCGTACTAAACGCTATTGCAGCAAGTACTATTCTACACTAACCTATAACAGTGATACATTGACCTACTGAAATAACTTCGACTGACTGCATACATACAAGCAAACAAACGTTAAAAGCACAAAAAACTAAATGTTACATTAACATAGTCAATTACATTAGTCTGATCTAACAAACAAGCAAAAAATGCCTAAATCAAAAATACAACAAGATTGCTGCTAATTACCAACTGATTAAACGCGGTGTTGAATTTTCGCATATCCCTTCGTGATGCTACCAGAACCGGACTAGTTTTTGTCTAAAATCTCAAATACGTTTTTCTCAAAAACGGCGAACTTTTGGGCCACCAAACTTAATTTTCTTCTTTTACACTGCTCCATCTCCTCCTGCAAGCTTGCTGCTTGTTTCAGAAACACCCTGCATAAGTTATAGATTGTACAAGTAATATTGGTGGTACGATTAATTCGAAAAAGATTGGTGAAGTTGCGAAGTGTGGACGGTGGGCGATAAGGAAAAAAACCTGTTAGAAGCGCTCCAAATGTGGTGTTACAGACGAATGATGAAGATATCGTGGATAGAATAAGTATGAAATGATGAGGTATTACAAAGAGTAGAACAGGGCGCGCTATGGAAGTCAACAAGAAATAGACGAGAAAGGTTAGCGCGACACCTTCTCAGGCATGAAGGGCTAGTTAGAGGCAGAAACAGGAGTTAAGAGGAGTAGAGGGAGACCTAGATTAGATTACTGTTTGCAAATAGTTGAGGATGTAGGATGTTCTAGTTTTAGGGAAACGCGATGATTAGCTCAGGGTTGGAAAGAGTGGAGGTTTGTGTCAAACCAGTCTTAGAACTGATGACCCTATAATGATAATCATGAAGTAATAAACAAGATATATTTAAAGATAATGTGTCAAAGTTGTTTTTCGGGATAAGGTCTCGAAAATTTAACAGTATTGAAAGTTTTAATAAATACAGTTATTCTGAAAGAAGATTATGGTAGTTTTGTTAACAGAATGAATTCGGAACAAAATCCCACCAATTCAACGTTAAGCGTTAATGTTTACTCAGAAAGGTTATACCGATATACGACATTACGGTTTTCATGCCTAGACAAGCAACTAACGCCATTTTACCATTTAAACAAAACCCTTTTCTATTTTTAAGTACCCTGGGTAGTATACTAATTTGGCTGTTGCAGATATTCATTGAATATTTTTCTGTTTGAACTTGTAGTTTTGCCACAGTGAGCACATTGCGTGATTTTTTCGTATCATTTAAAACCAAGGAAAAGTATATTTGAGCATGATCTCATATTCAAAGTAGACAGTCTCGCGTTGATAATGCCCACGTATGAAGTGGCGAAACACGTGTCCTCTCAAATAACATTATTTGTGGTAATTAGGGGTGAGTATTCCTTTTAATTTTTAATTTAAATAAATGACCTTATATTTTAGCATTCGATACAACCTTTGGCATAATTTATTTTAATTTGTTGCATAATTAACAGCATGCTATTTAAATGAAACCTTCTTTTATTACCTCTAAGTAATCGTAGTCACAGCCAGTAGCTTCCTCTAATTCAAATTTAAGAAACGTTAATTTTATTCTTGAACCGCTGTCAGATTTTATGACATATTCACAAATAATATCGCTCGGATATCGTCCGTCTATCGTTGGAGATTGCATTTCACCTTTATTCGATGTAAAAACTCCACCACATCCAGGCAAACCTACGAAACGGAATGTAATTAATAGATTACATTCACACTATTACCATCATCAAGGCACTTTCGATAGCTGTATATGATATCTGAAAGCCAGAATGAGATCCAACTTCGTCTGAATGAAAACGAACTTCCACATCTGAACCAAAAGATGTTAGAGGCTCTGGTTGAGATGTTTCACAGTATTTAGCTAGTCGCCGTTTTAAAGATGTAGAGCTATCTAGAAACTAAAATACACAACGATTATAAGAAACAGTGCAAATTATCGTTAACTCCTTTCATAATACTACAGTTCATATTCAAGTATATAGAACCAGATTTAAGCTTCTTATTAAACATACGTCTTTTTGACAAAGTACACCTTTCGAAAATTACGAAGTGTTTTACTTGTCAATAGTGCTGTTTACGTACCTCTACATAATCTCCTGTACAGTTTGTCTCATGGCCAATATTCAATTTAAAAAAATGGAACTCGATTCGTTTCCCTGGGTGAGCACTCAAGTGCCATTCACATTCTCTAAAAACGAAGTAGTATCAAAATGTTCACATTGAAAACGTATTAAAATACATTATTAATTTACCTATTTAGAGGATAATTTCCTGGCGATCCTGGTGATTGTAGAACTCCATGAGAAGTAAAAGTTATGTAGTCGGTACAAGCTAAGTTTAAAAAGATATCACTGAACAACAAAATTATGATAAACACTCGATTGAAAAATTTTACCTGGTACAGAACTATTCCATGTTATCCTAAAGTTACTATTTGAATGATCTGATTTCAACCACATGAAAACACTGTTGTGGGAAGTGGTAATTCTTCCATTTGCTGGAAGGATATCCCCACAGAAACGACCCAAGGAATGAGCGGCTGTGTTTGCCCCATCATGTATCTAAAATAAAAATCTCAGTGATCATTTTGCGTAACTCACAAAATACTTTCCTTAAGACGATACGAATTCACTCGTATAAATAGCAAGGAAAAAAATAAGACACCTTATTGCAAACTAATCGAGAAGGAAGTATCCGTTACTGAAAATAGGAAAAATTTTGGACAATTTAGATAAAGTTCTTATAGTTAATAGTGATCATTTTAGGTACTTTCGGTGATCATTAATCATTCTGGTCACCCAGGGCGTGAAAACCGCTTGCTCTAATTTCTCAGAAGCTATAGAAAAATATCTCCGTAAACATTTATATAATCTTTGTTACTTAGGTTAGTTATATTAGGGTATGATATATTTTAAACAAATATTTGAAAAATAGTTTAATTTTCAAGTGAAACATGTCTACCGTATGACCATTTTACGTGTTTGTGTTGTTTATCCAACAGTATAACAGTGCGTGCGTACCGTGGCACTGGAAATTTTTAAATTCATTGTTAAAAATCTTTAAACAAATATTTGAAAAATAGTTTAATTTTCAAGTGAAACATGTCTACCGTATGACCATTTTACGTGTTTGTGTTGTTTATCCAACAGTATAACAGTACGTGTGTACCGCGGCAGTAGAAATTTTTAAGTTCATTGTTAAAAATCAATGAACAGATGGATTGTGATTGAAGAACACGAAATTAACCCGTAATGTTTCAATAGCGTTTAAGTATTTTATACTTTATTTACAAAATATTGCAGATTTTGCTAGTAAAGGTTATAGTCTTTTATATCTTTATTTCTTGACTGAATTATAAGTTTTCGTTTAACATTTGATTCCGTTATTTCTCACTCAAAACGCATCTATTTATTTTTTTTAAAGTGTAAAGATCCGCAGGTTTTGTATAGATGCTTTAGGAAAGAAGAAGAAATAATTTCTAATAATTGACATTTAGTATTGTTATATGACATAATTAATTAGTACTAGCGAGTCTTGTTTAATATCAGTTGTATTTTGAAGATAACGGTTTTTACCACTTATCTCAAAAACGGGTTTTTGAATATGTTTCGTTTGGGAAACAAATTCCTTATGAGTACAGGTGCTTTCGGGAATTATTTTTATGGAGAATTCAATCCTTTACACTTAGAAAAATAATACATAAAAAATCCTCATCGCTACTAGACTATACGAAGTTATTTTCCGAAAACGACTACTTTGTTCAATGAACCTTAATTTATACATGTTTAAATGATAATCTCTCTGTATGAAAATAGAGAATGATGTATACATGATGTGAATGATAAGAATTGCGAAAGAGAGTGAACAGTTCAAATTAATTTGGGGTATTATGTATCCGCTTTTTCTTTAGATTACCCTTATGTTGCGTTTCCTTGAAAAATTTTCCTTGCACTACTGAATCGGCTTAATGTGCTAATAATACTATTTAAGTAGGTAACAAAATATTGTTACCTACCTGCAACCAATCTGTCTGGCAATCAACGCTCTTGTATACGTTAAATTTATCAAAAACTATATTTAGGGTAAGATTTTGTTTAGTTTCAATTAACCACGCGCAGTTGCTCCTTTGATTACTTAATGATGCACCAGGTGGAGGATATTCCAATGTTCCAAATTCATCAGTTAACCTTCCACCACAAGCTAATTAAAATAAATTACAATAAATTTAAGCGATTTCCTTTTTTTGTATGGGATAAATCAGTTACCCTGTTTTTCTTGGTTACATAAGGGTCCCGTAAATGAAGCAGTACAGTTGCAAACAAAGGAGATGTTGAAAACTTGTATGCAAGAAGCCCCATTTAAACATGGATTGGGAGAACAGGGATTCTTTCTTTTATCACAATTTCGCCCTTAAAAAAGTACAATAAATTGTGTATAAGAATAATTATAAAGTGCTAATCATAGTTTCAAAATCAAAAAAATTGATGAATACCTTCAAACTGAGATGTACAATGACATTCATACGTATTTTCATCTCGGGAGACGCAGGTTCCATATAAACATGGACTTGATGAACATGGATCTCCACCAGTTCTTTTTGTACACCCATTAGGTCCAATTCCTGATCCTACAAAGCCTTCAGGACAAAAACACTCTACAAACGTAGAACTTATTCCTGAAAGAATTAATAGACATGGGTATGATAACATCGGAAGTAATTACGAAACTGGATGATAGATTTGCATGTAATAAATTTAAAAGGAAAGCAACGAAAACGGCATTACTTGGGTTATCTCTACATTGAGCCAAATAATGGCATCCGCCATTATTTACATGACATATGCCTCGATAGCTACAAGAAAAACCGTCTCCAACATAGCCAGGAGGGCATGGACCACATATTCTTGATCCCTGAAATATTAAAGTAAAGTATGTGTAAGTATGTATAACAGGTATNCCAGTTCTTTTTGTACACCCATTAGGTCCAATTCCTGATCCTACAAAGCCTTCAGGACAAAAACACTCTACAAACGTAGAACTTATTCCTGAAAGAATTAATAGACATGGGTATGATAACATCGGAAGTAATTACGAAACTGGATGATAGATTTGCATGTAATAAATTTAAAAGGAAAGCAACGAAAACGGCATTACTTGGGTTATCTCTACATTGAGCCAAATAATGGCATCCGCCATTATTTACATGACATATGCCTCGATAGCTACAAGAAAAACCGTCTCCAACATAGCCAGGAGGGCATGGACCACATATTCTTGATCCCTGAAATATTAAAGTAAAGTATGTGTAAGTATGTATAACAGGTATAGCTGAGAAAGAGAAATGTTACCTGTGTATTTATACATTGTACAGTAGGAGAAACGCTGCAGCCACCATTAAAAATTGCACATTCATCAATATCTGCACAATAAAAACCATTTCCGGTGTACCCTAAAAATAAAAATCACAGAAATACTCATACAGTAGTATCTAAACTGTCGATTCCATTTCCTTGGTAATTTTACCTGCAGGACAATGTCCACATATATAAGAACCAGGGGTATTAATACATGCGACTAGAGGATTAATGGAACATGATGGCTTGTCCAGCGAACATTCATCAACATCCACTATACAAGCTGGATTTGTTTTATCACTTTTCCAACCCTTAAATAGGTATATAGATATTAGATTCAAACTCTATAAAGAGTGTTTTACAACGTATGCCATATTACAAAAACAATGAAGTCTATTTTGTTCATACCTGTTCACATATACACTTATATCCTTCAGCACTATTTTCATTTATGCACGTACCGTGGCCACAAAGTTCAGCTGATGATCCGGAATTACAATCAGTCGACCTTTCAGTGCAGTGAATACCGTGCCACCCGTTTAAACATTTGCACCTTATAAGTAAAATCACAAATTTACTTCTCAAACTACTGGTTTATACAGGGTGTTTCTCAAATAAGTAGTAACCTTGCAAGAAATGATGTTTGTAAGTCTGAAAGTTCACCGTTTTCGAGGAAACTGTAATTGAAAGTACAGGCAAAGGTAATGCCGACCCTAGAAAAAATGGGACGATGCAAGGTCGTATTCAATAAGCCAGTATTTAGCACGATCCGTATTGTATATTTTCTGTAATTTTGCACTGATTAATTGTTTGTTATTTGTTAGATTAGATTAAGTGTGATTGACGATGTTTATATTACAACCAGCCTAATAGTTTCTTTGCTCCTTTAATGTTGTAGACTTGTATGTATAACATGTAGTCAGTCGATTTGATTAGAATTAGGTCAGTGTGTCACAATCGTAGGATAAGAGCTTTGTGACATGTCACTAATTTAGAAGTAATGAAATTGCAGTATATCCCCAGCGAAGACTTCTTTACTGGCAAACCGTCTTAAATATAGTACATAGATTAAAAGAAAACGGCAATAATTTTGGTAGACGCCCCGAAGGCTGTCCTTTAGCACGGATTCTTTCTTTTATCACAATTTCGCCCTTAAAAAAGTACAATAAATTGTGTATAAGAATAATTATAAAGTGCTAATCATAGTTTCAAAATCAAAAAAATTGATGAATACCTTCAAACTGAGATGTACAATGACATTCATACGTATTTTCATCTCGGGAAACGCAGGTTCCATATAAACATGGACTTGATGAACATGGATCTCCACCAGTTCTTTTTGTACACCCATTAGGTCCAATTCCTGATCCTACAAAGCCTTCAGGACANAGATCATAAGGTTTACTACCAAATAACGAATTGCAAGGCTCTCTTTCAGCATTGATAAGGTTGAAACAACAGGAAATATATTTTAAAGACAAACACACCCAGAGATGAACAATGTTGTTTGTTTAATTAATCTTTATCATAATTGTCGTAGAAATATTATTGTGTGTAGTAGTGTAGTGGTAAGTTGCTGATATTTACGTTATTATTAGTTCCACAAGTGACACTGTTTACGTTCTCAATTATTGTAGTTGTTTAGTTGTAGTCGCTATACTAATACCTGTGTTCCTAATTCACGTCCAGGACCGGCTTCGGATTATAGGTTCTTTTACTCATCATGTGATTTCCTTTTACATCTAGTTAACACCCTCCAAAGCTTGCCACTTATTTCAGAAACACCCAGTACAGCGGCAATGTTGTTTTGAAAGATTATTGTACAGTATTGTAAAAAGTTAAGTAAAGGCTATATTCACTGCTTCATCTCTACACCTTTAAGTCGTACTCATATTAACGTTTTTTTATTAAAATGAAATTATAACTTTGTAGTATAACTGAAACGGCCACATCAATTATTATTATCAAAGATACAGGAAGTAAATTTAACGTTCTAATCATTAAATTATAATATAAAGCTGATTACTTCGTGGCGTTGTCTTTTTTTTTATTTAGTTGGCTGTTATTGTTGAAATTGTTAAATCTTAGAGATAAATAAGTTAGAGCAAAACAATAAAAGTACAAATGGAAACTAATTTTGTCTAGTGAGGTACTTTTGTCCTTTCTTACAAATCATTAAGTATTTATTTGTAACGAATACTTACTATGAAATTTATTAACCCACATTCATTAAAGAAACTTCACCTTATAGGCAGGGAATTTTAATATAGATACTTACTCATAACTCCCAGGAGTATTCACACATGTAGCTCCATTCTGGCACCCTAAGTCTGTATGAGTGAAACGTTGACATTCATTAATGTCATTTTCACAGTATAAGCCCTGTATTCGAAAATAAGTGTTAGTATTAGTATTGGTTTTTGAATAAATTATTTGCTTGGAAATATCAATTTTATTCTAAAGGTTCGACGTTTGATGAAGTGAACTAATTTTACCATTTTTACGATAAAGTGTTTTAAAAAAATGCATATAAACACATATTAGTAAATGTAAAACTAAATAATTCTTTAAAACGAAATTAACGCTAAGGTATATCACGCAAATCATAATAATAATTCAAAGTGTGTAACTACACCAATA